TATAGTGGCTTTCTGCAACTGGTCCTATCTGACATTACCTCCACTGGATTAGGTGAATAGGCCTATCACCGCAGAGGTAGCATTTAGCAAATCAAAACGTACTAAGGGACTTGTGGTCTTAACCATAAGCCTTGACTACACACCCTAAGCGTCGATGCATGCTCACTATTGCGAATGTGTTGATGTCTGCGTCTAACTCGTCCTCTATGCTCTCTCGCTTTGATGCTCACTGCCTAATAGACTGTTTGCCAAGCAATCCCGTAGACTCGCCTAGGGAAGAAGATTTTTATTTTTAGTGTTTTGAAAAATTCCTTCCTCAATTTTCTTTACTGGCTAGTCAATTAGCGCCTTCAGCTTCATATTGGAACTCCATCACCCCGCACTGTTTAGGACTGTGCCTTTAGAATTCCATAGCAGAAGCAGAAGTGAGCAAAAGAGTGAAGTTTCAATTCGAGTTTTGGAGTAATAATGAGTCGATCAAGAGTTACCGTTGAATTCATCGTAATGGTTATTCGGAAGCCATATTTCTATTTCAGGTGGCTGTAGTGGTTACCGACGGACATTCGCAGGACAATCCAGCACCAGCGGCAGATGCTCTACGAGCAGCCGGTGAGTACATTTCGCTTTTCACTACTTGACAATCCTCAATTCCTTCTACATAATAAGTGCTCGACAAAAGAGTAAAAGCGGTGTACTATTTGGCGGTGGTCGTCTATTTGGGATGCGCCACGCATTCGACTTCCATTTTGGATCGTAGCTGCATTCGAGTGCTGTTTGGCCCATCTACTTACTGCATCCTCGGACTCCGAAATTATGAGGAAGGATTAGATCCGAGATTTGATCACTGACTATGAGCGGGTTAAGATCATGATGACACCTCTGCGCTACTCCCGCCTCTAGCATTTAAATGCTATAAATTAATGCTACTGGAACAAAAACGCAGAACTCAGTTGAAAAATGTTTTCTAACGCAGGAGTCACCATTCTAACGTTGGGCATCGGAGATCACATCAATCGTGACGAAATTGTTCGAATAAGTGGCAAAGACGAATTGGCGTTCCAGGTTAGTTCGTTAGACTCATTCTTTTGGCAAGAAACTCATCGAAGGTAGGGGTGTGTGTCACGAAATGTACGACGTAGATGGGAAGTC